AAAACAGGTCAAATGTGGATAAGAACCATATTATCCATTTAGAAAATAGATAACTAATGGGTCTAACTTTTACACTTGTAAAGCCTCAAATTGAGGGTTCATCGATTTAGGGAGACTTAGAATTCTCCCAAAAATAATCAAATGCAAGAAGTTATGGATAATATGGTTACCCATATTATCCGCCGGTTAACCCATTTTTTATCTTTATTAAATATGGTCAGGTCGGATAATTTATTTATTTTTTCATTATCCATTTTCGACCCGAACCATATCCGACTCGACCCGCCCGTTTGCCACTCCTAGTGAGTAGTAAAAAACTTTTTAGGGATACGTACATAAGGGTAATTTTGGAAAAATAAATTGAATTTTTTCTTGATTATATAAATGGACACTTATTTTGGATCAAAATAAAAAGGTAAATTGATCATTTATTGTGGACCGGAGAGAGTACTTTAGTTTAAGCTTTCCGTTCACATCACTGAGCAATTGTAGGGACTATGTAATTCTACTAAATATTATCCAAAAAGTCATATTATATGCAAAACAATTATGAAAAAATATATCTTTCAGTGTAATTTTTATTAATTGACAAATATCTGTAATGAGTGTATAGAATCTGGAAATTGCTTCTTTTTTTTTTACAAAAATAAAAGGAAGGGAAAAGAACAAAGATAAGCTAAACTACCTTAAATCTTCATTAGAGGAAGGTATATGCAAAATAAAGATAGAAAAAGAATTAATATCAAAAAAGGAAGAAAAATTACTTAAAGTCATTATCAGAAAAGGATGAAGTGTCACTTGAAGAAGAATAAAAGAATTAATGGAAAGGTGATTATGCCATTTCTCGTGATTATTTGCCGTACGAGATATTGGTGAACTACTTGAAATAGTTTTTTGTGTCATTAAAGATATTTGACTGTTTTCATTTATTAATTTCCTTTTGTCCCTTTCAATTTATTCAACTGTATTCTACACTATTTCTATCTAAACTACATATATGCTCTTGAACATTAAACAATAATCAGATCTTCCTTTTGTTGAGATTAATTATATCTATTTTTTTTATTACTTAGCCTATGACATTAGCTAGTTAGTTAGCTTAGTGGTTAGAGTGGTTAGTTAGGAATAGTGACAATTGTCAGTTAGCTGGCTTTGTTATTACATCCGTATATATAGTGGGAGGAGCTCCACTCAAATGATTTTCTAGAATGTTCATTCCTCTCTCTCTATCTTCCTCTTCGATCCTCTCTGTATTTTCATGGCATAAGAGCTAAGCTCTTCCACCATTGAAGCTCGGCCTGTGCAGAGCTCAGTTGAAGGCAAACCACTGTTTCATTACCGGATTTTGATATGGTATCAGAGCGAGGCCACATGTTTTGATTCATTCCTTCAAAATTTGTTAGATCTAAATTCATTGGCTTCGATTTCACTTTTGATCGCACGCATGCAGACTCTCTTCTCATCAATTTAAGTCATAGCCTTTGGAATTTTCTGTCAGAGTCCTAAATCTATAGTTACGACCTTTTATTATTTGATTAGCTGAAATTCGTACCTTATACGAGATGGTTACCGTCGGAGACGATGAGCAGTCTACACCGACCATGGCTGAATCTCCGAATCAGCCAACTATTGACACTAGTAGTCCTTTTTATATGCATCCTTCTGATAATTCGGGAGCAGCATTAGTTCCTATTCCATTTGATGGTTTTGGTTATCGATCATGGAGAAGAGGTGTGATGAGAGCCCTATCATTGAAGAATAAACTGGCTTCATCAATGGGGACTGCAAAAGGCCAGAACCAGACTCCTCAAACTATCATTTGTGGGAGAGGTGTGATGATATGGTGACCTCATGTATTTTGAATTCCTTGGCAAAGGAAATTGCAGATAGTGTTGAGTATGTGACAGATGCAGTCGAGTTGTGGAAAGAGCTTGAAGATCGATATGATCAAACTGATGGAACAAAATTATACCAGATCCAAAAGGAGATCAATGATTTGTCCCAATGAGCCCTTGATGTTACTAGTTATTACACTAAAATGAAAAAGTTGTGGGAAGAACTCACCACTCTGCTTGCCAGATCTCATTGTACCTGCAATTGCACATGTAGAGCTAAGGAAAGTATGCACAAAGCAGAACAGGACAGGAGGTTAATACAATTCCTTATAGGACTGAATGAAACGTATATTGTGGTTCGAGGTAGTATCCTCATGATGAATCCTCTTCCTACGATTGCACAAGCTTTCTCATTGCTAATTCAAGAGGAAAGACAGAGAGAAATCAAACCTCATAACCACTTCGCTCTTGAGTCATCAACCCTAAATGTTAACACAAGCAAGACAGGATCGTTCAAAACAAATTATTCTCCAACAACACTCACAACAATAGGAACAGACCTTTCTGTGACTATTGCAAAAGAACAGGGCACACAAAAGAGAAGTGTTACAAACTCCATGTCTATCCTCAAGGTCTAAATACAAATCAGAATCCAAATACAAGTTATAATCAAGCTTCCAATTTCAGTCAAAATCCAAGACAGAACTTTAACTATGGGAACAATCCAAATGTGAACCAGAATACTAGGTTCAATAGAGGAAATAGGGGAATGGCTAATGCATATGTAGCAGCCACAGATACTCAACATGCTGATAGTGAGAGTTGTACTTCTCAGAATGTAAGCCTCACCAAGGAAGAATACAACCAGCTAGTGAGCCTGCTACAACAATTTCAATCAGGAGGAGGAAGAGACTGCACAAACAATGCCAACATTCCATCTGGAGCAGCAAACTTTGTAGGTCATAGCCTGCACTTCCTCTATTGACTTTGGTAAACTTTCATGTGAATGTTTCAAAAACAAAACTGACTCAAGGATTGTAAATTCAGGGGCATCAAATAATTTGACCTTTAACAAATCCTTGCTAACCAACATAGTAACTTTGCCTTATCCTTTACTTGTCATACTTCCAAATGGTTATAAAGTGAAAGTGACTGAGATTGGTAATGTTGTGCTTACTCCTAAGATCACTCTAAATAGGGTGATGTTTGTTCCTTCCTTTAGATACAATTTAATCTCTGTTCATCCCCTCACCTATCATCTCAGTTGTCTTGTTGCCTTCATTAACATTGTTGCATATTGCAGGACCCTTCAATGAAGAGGCCTCTGGTGATTGGTAGAGTCAAGGATGGGCTATACATCTTGTGCCCAAGATGCTTGAAGAACAACAGTACAAACCTTGGAGTAAAGACCAATGATTACTTGCCCACTCTTATCACTTGTTGCACTTGTATCAAACAATGTCCATCTCATTCTGTTGTAGATATGCCATTACATGTCAATAAGTGTGTTCCTTCTTATCCAGTTGTAAATAGTTCAAGTGCAGGTACTGAAGAACAATTCTCTTTTGTAAATTCATCCTCTAGAACTCCTAGTACATTTTCTCATATGTGTGTTGGAGACAGTGTGGATGTTCTATGGCATAACAGACTTGGACATGTTTCCTTTGTAAAAATGAAAAATATTTCCTCCATTCCTGTGACCTTTTCTTCCAAACAACCTTTCAATTGCACCATATGTCCAGTGGCCAGACAGGAAAGGCTCCCATTCCCACAGAAAACCAACACAACCAATAAAATTTTTGAACTCTTACATGTTGATTTGTGGGGACCATACCATGCGCCCACACATGATAAATACAAGTATTTCATGACTATTATGGATGATTTCAGTAGGTCCACTTGGACTCATCTTCTATCTAGCAAAAGCAATGTCGTCCAAGTACTTAAGGGGTTCATTAGTTTGGTAGAAAATCAGTTTGGAGTAATCGTAAAAGCTATGAGAACAGATAATGAACTAGAGTTTACCAATGCAGAAACAAACACCCTATTTCAATCTAAGGGTATCATCCACCAAAGAACTTGTCCCTACACTCCACAACATAATGGTGTGGTGGAAAGAAAATACAACTATCTCCTTGAAGCTGCCATAACACTCCTTTTTCAATCCAAACTACCCCTAAGATATTGGGGTAAATGTGTACTCTGTGCCACCTATATCATAAACAGACTTCCTTCCACCTCTATTAACAACCAGACTCCATATGAACTGCTATACAAGAGGAAGCCAAAATATTCTCACCTAAAGAGCTTTGGCTGCCTGTGCTACCCTACTATACCTAAACCTCGTAGGGACAAGTTTGAGAACAACACCACATGTTTTTATTGGCAACTCTTTCAACACAAAGAGATACAAAGTTTTAAGTCTAGCCCCTAGAAGAATCACTGTCTCCAGAGATGTAATCTTCAATGAGTCTATTTTTCCATTTGCAGCCAATATGGATGCATCTTCTAACCATATGTTCCTCATTCAATTCCTTTTATTGAACCTCTATGTGAACAATATTATGACAATACAAACATCACACAATAAACATCTGAAGCTTTGAGTGATTAAGGGAGTCATGCCGACAGCACAACCAATCTTATGTCACCTGCACATGATCACTCCTCATCATCTTCTATGATGCCTAATTCTCCAATATCATTTTCACCATAGAATCACATTGAACAACCCCATATAGAACCCATGCAGCTGAGACAGTCCTTAAGGACACATAAAGCACCTAGTTATTTACAAGACAATGTCCATTCTCTACCTAAACTTAAACCAAATCCTAATTCTCTTAATGCCTTGTTCTCTATGAACCACCATGTTGCCTCTGATCTATAGGATGCAAGTGGGTTTACAAGGTGAAGCACAAAGCTGATGGTAGCATAGAAAGATTCAAAGCCAGGTTGGTTGTCAAAGGCTATACTCAGCAGGCAGGAATTGACCACACAGAAACATTCTCACCAGTAGTGAAAATGACAACAGTAAGAGCACTGGTAGTGGTAGATACAATAGTGAAGAAAGGGTGGTGTATATCTCAGCTAGATGTAAATAATGCCTTCTTCCATGGGGACCTTAATAAGGAAGTGTATATGTAAGTTCCACCTGGACTTGTTATGGATAAGCCAACACTGGTTTGCAAGCTAAACAAATCTCTCTATGGCCTAAAACAGGGTAGTCGACAATGGTATGCAAAATTGACTGAAACCTTATGTTTAAAAGGATATACACATTTCATGAATGATTACTCACTTTTCTATAAGAAAAATGGAAAATCCTCAGTATATGTTATAGTATATGTAAATGATGTGCTGTTTGCTGGGACTGACCAGGAAGAGATCATACAATTGAAGGCCTTCTTGCATGAGCAATTTAGGATCAAAGATCTGGGCCAACTACATTATTTTCTGGGACTAGAGGTGATGTACAAGGATGATGGTATCATAATCTCTCAAAGGAAATTTGTATTAGACATGCTGAAAGAGTACAATTGCCTAGATTACAAGCCTTGTTCTTCTCTCTTAGATCCTACCATAAAGCTAAAGGCCAAAGAAGGTACCTTCTTACAAGACCCCACTTACTATAGAAAGCTGGTGGGAAAACTAAATTTCCTAACCAATACTGGGCTGGATATTGCATATATTGTCCAACACTTGAGTCAGTTCATGCAAGAGCCCAGAGAACATCATTTGAAGGCAGCATTCCAACTGCTCAGGTACTTGAGAAATGATCATACTCTGGGAATCTTCATGTCTAAGGATGCAGATTGCACAGTCAAAGCCTGTTGTGACTCTGATTGGGCAGCCTGCCCAGATTTCAGGAGATCCATTACAGGTTATTTGGTACTTCTGGGCAATAGCCCTATCAGCTGGAAGTCTAAGAAACAGGAAACTATATCACTATTCTCTGCAGAAGCAGAGTACAGGGCCTTGAGGAAAGTAGTAGGGGAGTTGGTATGGTTGAGCAGACTGTTTGAAGAACTAACTGTCCCTTTTCCAATGCCTATTTTAGTGTTCTGTGATAGCCAATCTGCACTTCACATTGCCAAGAATCCAGTCTTCCACGAAAGAACCAAGCATATAGAAGTGGACTGTCATTTTGTGCGTGATCAATTACAAGCAGGGCTTGTTTCACTTCATCATATTAGGACAGATAGTCAACTGGCCGACATTCTGACCAAAGCTTTAACTGGAATCATACATAGTGCCACATTAAGCAAGTTGGCTGTGTTTACCACACCTCCAATTTGAGGGGGTGGTGGTGGTATTAAGATTAATTATATTTATTTTTTTCATTACTTAGCCTATGACATTAGTGAGCTTAGTGGTTAGTTAGGAATAGTGATAGTTGACAGTTAGCTGGCTTTGTATTACATCCGTGTATATAGTGAGAGGAGCTCCGCTCAATTGCTCACTTGTATGAATTGAACAAAATGATTTTCTAGAATGTTCATTCCTCTCTCTCTCCCTCTCTGATCCTCTCTGTATTTTCATGGCGTGAGAGCTAAGCTCTTCCACCATTGAAGCTCAATCTGTGCAGAGCTCAGTTGAAGGCAAATCACTGTTTCATTCCAGGATTTTGATACCTTTGAATCCAAATGCCACCTAATATTAGAGGATTCACTAGTGAACTTATTGCAGTATGACACTAGTAAAAAGGAAGATTTGATTTTTGTAATTTATTGCAAAATTTATTGTAATTACATGAATTTTATAAAATAACATAAAAGATCGATCTATAAAATAACATAGAAAAATTTATAAATTTATTTTCTTCCAGTCAAATATAAATAGATATAACAACAAAAAACAATATACCCAGTATATTCCCATAGTGTGAAGTCTGGGGAGGATAATATATATGCATATCTTATTTATAACTTGTGGAGGTAGAGATGTTGTTTTCGATAGATTCCCGGCTCAAGAAAAGTAATTCACAACAAGTTTGAAAAAAATATAGTGAAGAAGCCATGTTAAAAATAATGAAGGCAAAAGTAGTAATACAACAAAATAACTAAGCAATAAAAAAAAATCAAAATTAGGGAACAACAAATAGTTAGAAATTGAAAGCTAAGATAATACAGAATGATACTAAAAATAGGACCTACTTTCTACCCTTTTCTAAAAGTAGATACGTCCTCCACATAAAGTGCTAAATATTCTAATTATTTAATACTACTTGTACAGCTGTATTAAGTTAAATTTAAACATTTTTATCTTAATAAAAGAAAATATCATTTTCAACTTATTACGATGTTATAGAAATGAAAGTTGGATTGAACGAAAAAACAAGAGTGGGACAAAACAACAACAGATCTAAATTTGGATTTTTTTAAATAGGATAATTCTTGTCTTTTAGTCTCAACGGAAATATATTCATATCTTTTTCCGTTTCTTTTATAAAGACAACTACTGGGGCTGTAAAAAAAAGGAAAATAAAAACCACGGACCTGAAAATACTAAAGTCAGCTAGATTTTAGGAGAGTGTTGAGGTCCGTGTTCTTAAAAAAAACTTTTTATTTTTTTAACTTTTTTTTTTTATTATTATCAGCTTATTAGGTACAATTTCCAACAGCTATAGAATATCTACTACTACTACTGCAACACTGGAGCAAAAAAAGGCTAGAGAAGACTGGTCAATCAGTGACTGAGAGAAAAAAAAAAGAAGAAAAAAAATGGGAAAATCAACAGCTTCTTCTTGTTTCAAGATTATTGCTTGTGGCAGTGATTCAGTTGAACATGATGAACTTGAAACTCATTCTGAGGTATAAATCTACAACCCCTTTTTCTTAGATCAAATTTTGAGTTTTTATTTTACTGATTTTTGTATTGCTTAATTGATAATGTATGTTAAAAATTGAATCTTTTTTGTGAGAATATGGCTTCTAATGAATCTTGGATCAACCCCTCAAACTGTGAAGTCTGATTCTTTTGTTTTTTTTACAAAATTGTTGTTTCCTGTTTTTTTTCCACCGGTAATGTAGCTTAAAAATTGATTTTTTTTGGGTCAGAAAAGGGTTTTCAAATGAATGTTGGATCAAAATCCCCTTATTTTTTGTTTTTCTGCAAATTTGTTAAGTTTTAAGATGATGGGATTTGTCCCTTTATTTTGATCCATGAGTAGAGCTAATTGTTTTTCTTGAATAAAGGAGCTTTCTTGTGTATAGAAAAGTTCTAAAATTTGTCAATGGATCTCAATTATGAGTGCTAGATTGTTAAATGTAGACTGATTAGGTTTGGATTTGAATTTCTAGCTTACTTGGGAGTTGTTAGATGTTTTCACAACACATCAAGGTTAAATGAGATTGTCTGATATCTAATTCAATGTATCTCTAAATGGAAATGGATTGAATTCACTAAATGTATCTTTAAATTTCCATATGTTTTTTTTTGCTATGCTTGTCTTCCTTCTTTACATTATTATGGCCTTGCTGCTGTGGAGTCAGAAATATAAGTTGAGCTGACAATTCCAGTTATGAGACTTTCGCATTACCTAACCCCCCCCCCCCCCCCCCCCC